GGAATAATGTGCAATCCTATTAGGAAGTGGAGGCACTTCAGGCTAGTCACACTGCCCAGGCTAGCTCCCTGAAAGGGAGGGATGGGAAGAGGGCAGGACCAATAACTCTGACTATACCACACCAATCAGTGGAAGCACATGTTGCACTAAATCAGTGGATAGCTACGCTGCTGCTGATATGTGCACTGTTCTAGAGTCCCAGGAGAAATTCTGTCTGAGTCAGTCAGAAGTGTAACCCATAGAATCCCACCCCAAGATGGTGCAAGTGGCCTAAAAACCAGAATCTCCTCTTCAACCTCTATTCTCTTCAGATAAACTCAGTTTTGGCCATCACTTGGTATTTTATTGAAAATCTCACAATATTCAATGTTGTTCTTAAAGGGTCAGCTGCTGGAGATAAGTAAATGCCAGGGAATCTGTTTTTATTTTTAAAAAGTCTCTAGTCCTCCTGGTTGCAGAAAAAAAACCTTGGAAATGTGATCAAGTCACAAACTAGCAGCCGAAGTTGCTAGTTGATCACAGACAAGAAATTTATATTTGTTTTTTTAAATCTCCTGCTTTTTAAGTCAATCTCATTATTTGGATACCTTACCCATAATTTTTTAACATATGCGGTTAGCAATTCATTGCCATTTTACTTTACTTAACCTTAGCCCTCTATCCTGGCTTAACCATCTGACTGTTAAATTATAGTAGTTGCTCTACAATTACATCAGCCATACGAAGAAGAAGATCCATCTATTCCATACCAGTCACCACTGTATATAGATGAAAGGAAAAATTAATAGTTGATAAACAGTATTTCTGATGGTGCAACCGCATCTAACCCCTCTGCTGATGAACACGCACACAGTTTCTGGCCCAGTTGTGTTACTAGATTAATTTTCTCTTTGTGGAGGGCAGCCAATCTCAGAAGAGTAGAGCAATATACAGCATCCTATGGTGTGAGTTTGCTAACTCATGCAGGTTTCAGGTATGTGTGTGAGTGTATGACTTTGTATTAAACATAGATAAATAACTCTTTTTTTTTAATTGGGGGAGAGAGGAAGAAAATATACAGAAGCAGCTCATTCCCCATGAATGAAATGTTGAAAAATACTAAATTAGAGCTCTCCAGAAAAGGCAGGGAAGAAAGTCACTTCAGTGTAATAGAGTGAACCATGTCTCGATTAAAAACAAGATATCAAGGTCAAAAGATTTCGATAAAATACAATTCTATCTTATATTCTGTTTGTTTTGTATTGTGCAAACACTCTATTCATCTACTGATTTAGTTTAATAACTGTGGGTGTTAAAAGAACTAGAGACTGAACACGAAAGATTCAAAATCTGAGAAATGTGACAAGCCATTTAAAAAGAAAAATATATATAGTATAAATAGATGGCAATTAAATATTCACTGGTGGGTTTTCTTGCTCAATATGCAATCTTTCTGACATTTAAATCACAGCTTTTTTAAAAAAAATCTCACTAATGCAAAAACACTGACAACATAAGGAGTCAAGAGATTAAGCCTTTTTGCTTTAACTTTAATTACTTTGTCATTATTTCAGTTAAGGGCAAGGCACTTTAGTAGGTTATCACATTTCTCCTCCCAAGTGTTTCAAAAGTCAAGTACAGTTTCCTCGGACTAAATATGTAGTGTATGAAATATTTAGATGAAAAGTTAGAGCAGAATAGGATGCAGAGAATTTATTATAGCTGGTATATAGGCACTTTAAGAAGGTGGCAGTATTGCTCACATAAAATGTTGTCAATACAATTTTTTTTTTGCAAGAAACCAATTGCAATGTAAGTGTCAGTGCTGTATTTGCCTGATAAATTACATGCAGCCTCAAAAAGCTGAAAATAAACTTGTATGGGGTTTTGGAAGAAAGATGAGTGCAAAAAAGACATTGATAATGAAGAAAAACAAAAAACAACAAAAAATTGCTGTGTGATATGCTGTTGATGTGTGTATGTGCAACTTTCACCCACATGATTAATGTTAATAACACTTTTATTGCATCAATTTTTTTCAGTATTTAAGTAAAATTCAACTGCTTCAAATTTCAGTATTCTGGCCCATACTGGGTAATATCTGGTGACTTTACATTAGGGCCATTGTAAACATTAATGGTAAAAGCACCCCTGACCAAAGTGCCTACACAAGTCCTATACACCACTGAAGTGCTATTTTCTGGGTTTAAGTGGAACTGAAGCAGCCACTAGGTCTTGAGCTGATCCTCTGCACGGGGGTGAATTTCACCCCAAGATTATTTTGCATTTATTTTCCTGAAGCAGTAGAACACATACATGAAGTATAATAATAACAGAGTAAACATATTAATTTAAGAAAGATTAGGTGAGGTGTCACTTGCTCAGCAGTTAGAGTTGAACTGCTATTAATATTAAAAACATGAATGTGTGTGCTGTGAATACTAGAAATCAAATGTAAATCAAATCACACTGTGTCCATTGCATCTTGAGATGCCTTGCTATGAAATTAAAATTACTATAATTATGAAAAAAAGATTAAAGGACCTGATCTGAAGCCCTGTGAAGTCAGTGGAAGTCTTTCCATTAATTATAATGGGTTTTGGATCAGGCCCTAAACAAAACCATCTTGAATAGTCATCTTCAATCGTAATCTTCTGCAAAACCAGCCCCCCCCCACCTGCAAGTTTCCTTTATCAACAAGATGACTTCAGAACAGTTCTGGCTAGGACATCATTAGGACTGGCATAAAACCTAAAGAGAAAAACAGAAAGGCATTAGCATATCAACATGTCTTTAAAAAGTATCCCTCAGAGCTTGCCAATGTTCTTAATAATAAACACACAAAAAACGATATTGCTGCACGTGCACAATCTGGCACTGTTGATTTATCCCATCCATACAACTTTATCTCACCGACTTTCTCTTGTGTTTTCCTGGGGATTTTGTTCTTTTCAGAAAATGGACAATGTCCTTATTGAATATCTTGAATCCACAAGTCTATTTGATAGTCACTGCAGGTTTGATGCACAACAATCTTTGTTAAGGAGAACACTGACGTTTATATAAACAAAGTGACCTTTCCTCTCACTAGCATTGGGAGGGGGGGGGGAGGGGGGAGGAAAGCAAGGGGAGAAGGAAAGGGGAAAGGAAGGAGGAAGGAATCCTGTACTACTTGTTGCCAGCTTTGACACTCGGGAATCATTGATGCTCTTATAAAAAGACTAATGGAAATTAAATGTAAAACAAAGGTGTTGACCAGTTTACACACACACATATCACGGTCGAGTACACGTAAATGACTGTAAGAAAGCCAAATTGAGTGGTCAATGAAATAATCAGAAAAACATATATTCTTACTGAAAAGCCGACATCGCCTAATTAATCCATACAATACAGCATAGTGACTTGTATTCAGAGTGTAATTCCTACAAGACAACGAAGTGCAATCTGCATGCGGGTTAACATATACAGTCATGTCGCGTATTGATGGGGCTCTCTGATCACTGGAAGCATGGTAGAACATGGCCAAGCTATGTTACGCTTGTAAAAATCCAAGGATTCCACAGCTTCCTGCTGGGTCTGCAGGCTATTAATATCGACATATTAAGGCAGGCAATCAGGAATTAGCTTTCATTTCACTGATGTCAAATTGTCAACTTGACTATGGCTATATACTGAGAGGGACAGTGAGGATATGGAGAAGGCGGGAGCCCTGTGGCTACTCCTCTCCCACCCGCCCCACCTTGAAATTCACTGCACACTCAAGAGCCACTATTATGGAAAAGAGAAAAGGAAATTTTCCACTAACCCAGCTCGTGATTTACATGCAGAGAGCAGGCGAATGAATAGCAGAGAGAAGTGGTGCGCGTCTTTGGCCACAGGAGAAAATAAGATTACTTACTTACTTACCAGGGATACCTTGCGCCAGGGCAAATGTTTATTCCCTCGATCACCCAGCTCCTCAAGTCACTCCAAGAAATCAATCTCCGGCATTGCCCCCTCCTTCCCTTCCTCTCCGTCCAAGGAGAGGGAACAAGATTGAGAGCGAGGGAGGAAAGATAGGAGAGAGGGCAAAAGGCTACCTGGGAGTTCAATGTCTAACGTCCCTGGGGTGGAGGGGTGGGGGGGATAAACCTCGAAACACAAAATCAGGCACCTAGGATCAGCAGACAGTCCGCTGGGAAAAGAGGCAGCTCCTTGAGGAGGAGGAGAAGGATCCTTAGAGAGGGAAGGAGCTGACTTAGAACAATAGGGTCTCAGATAAAAGGCTTGGTTAAAAAGTAGCCTTAGGGAATGGAGGGGGAGGGGATAATCTTACCCGGTCGATACGGCAGCTATCGCTTGTTCAACTGCAGCCTGCGCGGTACGAGGATACGCGAATGGCACAGTCACGCCGTAGACAGCAGCAGAGCCATTTCTCACGGCCTTTGCCGAACGCGAAAACCAAACACAGAACATAGCCCCCGCCCACTCCCAGTCCCCCAAAGTGTCATCGCAGCCCCACAGCCATCCCCGACACGGGGACCCGGCGGAATCAAGCCCATCGCCTTGCGAAGGGGATTTATACGATCACTGGAGGAGCTGGAGCTGCTGCTGCGGCCGCTAGTCACTTTCTCTTTCTCCAAAAGCGCCGTGCTCCCAGCACAGCTGCTTTCTGCTCCTTCTTCCCCGTAGCATCTTCTACGCTACACTTGTTCCCAGGGCCGGCTCCAGTATTTCTGCCGCCCCAAGCAAAAAAAAA